GACAGAAAGGTTTAAAAATTATCACCCATTTGTGGGGTGTTTCTCTTGGTAGGAATGTTAAAATTTTTAATAGGTTATAAGTTAAAACATTTGACAAGATTTTATTTGACAGTTTTATACAAATTCAGCAATTATTTCCTCCAAGCCTCTGCATTTTATTTTTCTCATCAATTATATAATAAAGAAAACAATGTTTTTTGGGTTTTTTTTGGCTTCAATTCCTTCTAGTTTAAACGAGTATGCTGCATAATATTTTCTATGTGTCAGGACATGAAAAAGCTTAGGAAGCACTGATATAGACAATGTGGTGTGACTCTTGGGTATTATTCACACCTGCTGTATATTACTCCATCAGCACCATTTAATACTACTGGCTTCATAACAATCCGGTTTGGTTCATGCTATTGTATAAGCCTCAAGCAAGTTAGTTGCTGAATCTGTGTGTTCAGTCATAAGCACACTGTCCTTCCCAAGCCCCACCCTACCAGCTCCCTAACTTCTTTATTCCCAGGGTGGTGGAGGAAATGGGAAAGTAATTTTAGATACATAAATTTCATATAGTAAGCTGTGTTTTGAAAATATTTAATACGTTTGTTCAAAGATGACCTTGTACATTTCTATAAGCTGTCAGCCTAACAGCTGAAACTTTCAATAAAGAATCAGTTTTAGGTAACCAAGGTGAATCCTTCATTTCACAGATGAGGAAAGTGAGGCTCAAGGAAGAGTCTGTGCTCATGTAGCATTAGAGTCAGAGCTTAGTGGAGAAAACAGAGGTCGACACTCCCAGTTTACTGCTTTACTATGTGCAACTTCACTTGTATACTACATATATATATATTAATAGACTTTCTTTTTTCATATGTTTTGGGTACTGTTTTGGTATTTTAAATACACAGACTTTTTTTTTAATTAATTTATTTTTGGCTGCGTTGGGTCTTTGTTGCTGTGCACAGGTTTTCTCTAGTTGCAGCGAGCGGGGGGCTACTCTTTGTGGCTGTGCGTGGGCTTCTCATTGCGGTGGCTTCTTGTTGCGGAGTACAGTTTCTAGGCGCGTGGGTTTCAGTAGTTATGGCACGTGGGCTCAATAGTTGTGGCTCGCGGACTGTAGAGCGCAGGCTCAGTAGTTGTGGTGCAAGGGCTTAGTTGCTCCGTGGCATGTGGGATCTTCCCGGACCAGGGCTCGAACCCGTGTCCCTGCACCGGCAGGCGGATTCTTAACCACTGAGCCACCTGGGAAGTCCTTAAATACACAGACATGTTGATTCATCCAAAGGGGTTAGATATGTCCATGAAATAAGGGAGCAATAGGTATAATGACAGTTCTTTGTGAACACCAGATTATTCCATGATGAGGCAGTGCTTAGAAGAGGCAGTGTCTGGAACGATTAGGGAAGAAGAGAAGGAAGAAAGAAAAGCAGCCGTTTTCTTTCTCATCAACCACAGCAGTTTGCCTCAGCAACCAAGAATGGAGATGACAAAGCCAAACTAAAGCAGTATAAGGGTTTAAGAACTATTTAGTACTGGCATACTGAAGTACTTTCTTCACCCAGTAGAGGAATTTTTAAAAATAAGAAGTTCCTATAGTCTATAAATTAAGTTTTACAATATAAATAATGTACTCTAAATGCATAATACACTTGGATTTTGTGCTAAACAGTCTGTTGTTTGCTTTTAAGCTTATGTTTTACCATAGTGAGTTAAAAAAAATTAAAACCCTCCAAATTATTCTGCCTATAGGTTTTATGATATATTCTCAAATTTAAGCTTTGCTGCATCAGAATACAATAGGAGCTAACATGATTATACACATTATAAGGATTACTGCAGTTTATTTAACACTAAAGGCTTTCATGCTTCATGAACAATAAAATGTTACAGTGATCACTTTTTAATGCTTTATTCATTGATTAAAAGAATATACATTTAACATAAACCATACAACAACATCAGTCATCAGGTCAAACATTCAGCTGGTTTCCTTACAGTTTCTGTCAGGAGTTATTTTATCTGATCACATTTATAAGATAAAATCTCACCACATCTGGCATTTACACACACTGTGCCAGTGGATTCACACTACTGATGTACATATAAAATCCGCATGGTATGTGCTCACTGGAGACAAAACAGTGCACACCTGTCAAAAGGTCATTTTAATATAAGATGGTAAAACCATTTGTAAAATACATATAAACTTTTTCCATAAATAGAATCATATCTGGACATTTGTTGCATAAATTGTGTTTCCAAAGCTTACACTAGAGCAGCCAGGTCTCAGCACTGCTGGGCACCCACGTTGGCTACTTACTTTATTATTGCAGACTGTCCTTTAACATTAAATGCACAACATTCGTACCACTTAAAACTGGGGTCAGGTGGAAGTCTCACAGAGACCACGTCTGTACCGCGGTTGCCCTGAAACAGTTAAGTCGGCTTTTAAAGCCTCTCAGATATAACAAGGTTTTAAAACATACTTCATGGAATGTTCTTCATGTAACATAGCAGCTCATACCTGTGATAGAACAAGCTTTCAGTTTTTCCTTTCTTTCCTTTACATTCACTATTCACAGTGAAACAGGTGCATGGTTTTTTTTTCTTTTTTTTTTTGTTTTGTTTTTTTTTTTGTTTTTCAGAGTTCTGAGGTTGCTGACTGAGCCACAGCACAGCTGTGTACCACAGGTCGAAATTCGACCTTAAATATTACAATCTAGCAGTATCTGGCTGGCCAGAGTGGGCCAGCCCCTGCCAGCATGTGGGCACTTCTTCAGTTAAATCTATTCTTTGGCAGCTGACACGCGCGCTGACAGAGAAAAATCCAGTGACTTGTTGCTAGGGATTTCACGACTAATGTTTGTTTGCAAGCATGTGTGTTTACAAACTCTGTGTTTTGATATTCATTTAGGAGGTTTTACCCTGGAATATTGTTTGTTTCTTCCTCCACTATTTGAAATCTTGGCTAAAAAGCTAACTTGAATGTATGATGTAATTGATGAATTAAATTATGTCAGACATAGTTTAAAAAAATCCAATAATTTGAGTATTTGTATTGATGTAAATGCATTTAAAAAAGGATTCAGCAGTGTTCTAACCTAGTACTATACAAAATTGAGAATGGTAATTGGTGATATCAACTATTATATATGTAATGAAAGTTAAAGGCTTGGCTTTTCTGTTAAAGATAACGCATTTGGGATTGTATTATCCTCCCTCCTTCCATTTCAAAGAAAAATTAATGAAATGCTATCACACAATGAATGAATGCAGTGCATTGCATACAAATCCACCAGGCTATGGATATATATCTATATATGTATAAAAATATTTTGGCTCCTGAGCTCTGACACACAAAGAATAAAAACATCAAAAGGCAGAGTAACTCAGTGAAAAAATAAAGTTAGCCAGCAACCTCAGACAACCTTCGGTTGTATATTCTTAAGGTTTGGTAACAAGTCCATTAACCGTGAAAGCCCTATACATTGTCACTTTGAACTTCTAAACCAATACCTGACTACGTTCTTTGATCAAGAAGTAGAATATACATATATAATTCTATAAAGCTAATACTGATTAAACACAGCACAAAGGGATTAATTCACACTACTGAAAGAAAAAAAACGTAATAGGACCCTACTTGCATATGTAACCACAGGAATTGTACATTTAAAAAAAGCTAAATGTCTTCGCTGAAGCTTTGCATCTCTCTGTAAAAATGACGATTTGGTTCAGTGAAGACACTGAGTGATTCGATGTCCATGATCGCATGCCAAGGTTGACCTAGGCCCAGGGATACCTGCTCAATAAGGTTATGTACTGGATCCACATCCTGGTCGGCCAGTTCACCTTGGTCAAAATCAATGCTTTCTTCAGTGACTTCAAGTACTTTTAGATCAGAGCCACGAAGACGAGCAATGGCAATGAGGTTGTGTGCCCACACTGTGTAACCTTAAAAATAAGCAAAAGAGAAGCAGTCATTTCCTTGCATTTTATTTTGTCTGTTTTATAAGTTAGTCTTTTCCACAAATTTGTATCTCACTTAGTACTTTGGGGGTCCTTTGCCTTTAAAAATATGCTGAAATTTGAAAGGAAGTATGATTGCTTAGCTCAGGGAAAAAAAGACTAGAAACTTGATACTATCTCCAAGAATATTACTGTGACTGGTGAACAGATAGGTGCTGTAATCGTATTCTGATATCATTTTAGTTAGTCAAACTGAAGACATTTAAAGTTTAAAGTATCATTTTATAGCTTCTGACAGTGTCGTATCAAAAAAAAGAGTTTTATTTCATATGTATGTATCTATTAACAATACATAGGGGACTTCCCTGGTGGCGTAGTGGTTGAGAATCCGCCTGCCAATGCTGGGGACATGGGTTGAAGCCCTGGTCCAGGAGGATCCCAAATGCCACAGAGCAACTAATCCCGTGCGCCACAACTACTGAGCCTGCGCTCTAGAGCCCGCGAGCCACAACTACTGAGCCCACGAGCCACATCTACTGAGCTCGCGTGCCTAGAGTCCGTGCTCAGCAACAAGAGAAGCCACTGCAATGAGAAGACCGTGCACCGCAATGAAGAGTAGCCCCTGCTCACTGCAACTAGAGAAAGCCCATGCACAGCAACGAAGACCCAATGCAGCCAAAAATAAATAAATAAAATATATAAAAATTAAAAAACGAAACAATACATAGTAAACTGGTATTTTTCATTAGTAAAAGTCATCTCCTATGGTGCTTCACAGTCCAAAGTTATAAAGTGATACTTTAAAGATAAACTGTAAATTGTCAGTAGCAAATATATAAAGTATAAAACAGATATAGGAATGATAGGTACTAACTTTAGAATAGTGTACTAACTAACTTTAGATAGGTACTAACTTTAGATAGGTACTAACTTTAGAATTCCTTTCCTCTGGAAAGGAATAAAGTTGAATAGATGGAGGAGCTTTAGCTGTAGCTACATTTTACTTCTTAATAAAAGAAAAAAGCTTTAGGAATTTGGACCTGTTACCGAGGCTGCTGTCGCCATGTTCCTGTCCGCGGTCACCTTTGTCAAGACCAAGTCAAAAACAATTCTGGTGAAAATGTTGAGCCAAGCTGGAAGAGGTTTTTCCTTCAACACTAAGAGAAGCCGACTGCGGGAGAAACTGACTGTCTTGCATTATGATCCACTAGTGAAAAACAAAGTCCTCTTTGTGGAACAGAAAAAAATACGCTCCCTCTAAACAATGGATTGAAAATGAATTTGATTTATAAATGAGAAGACTGAGGGCGGGATACTGATTCAGAAATTCTGCAGCGTGTAATGAAAGAAGAGGAAATGGCATGGAATCACTGCCTCCTGTGATTTGAAGGCCATTGTGAAGGAAAACAATGCAGTGAAAGAAAGTTCTTCATATTAGGACATATATCATTGCATCACATTTATTTATCTTTCTGGATATTTTTATAGCCCTTAATAAAAATATTAAAATAGCCTGTTTAAAAAAAAAAAAGAAAAGAAAAAAGCTTTAGGGAATTCTCTGGTGGTGCAGTGGTTAGGACTTGGCACTTTCACTGCCAGAGTCCGGGTTCAATCCCTGGTTGGGGAACTAAGATCCCGCAAGCCTCGTGGCACAGCACCCCCCCCCCCAAAAAAAAGGTTTAAAAAGACTGGCTTAAATTAATTTTCAATAACCTGCCATTTCTTCATCCTATTAAAAAATCCTTATTTATTACCTTCAATACTGATCTATTCTTTGCTATTACCTCTGATGACTGGCCAAATTATAAAGCAAAACTTGAAAAGCAAAATATACTCCCGCTCAAATGCAGCTAAAAGATTAATTCAAAAATAATGAAACAGAGATAATAAAGTATGTTTAAGATGTTCATAGAGACTTCCTATTTTGTATTCTTTAAATGTCTTATAAGTTACAGAAAGGAAGTAATATGTTCTTCAAACTTGTAAGAAGAGGAATGCTCTCCAAATGAAAACAGTTCACAGCAAGATGACAGGCCCGCCAGTAAGAAAAGAATATATCCCAGCCAAGAGAACCATCATTTAAAAAATACTGTACAAATTAACATGTTGATACCTAGAATCTAGAAGATTAGGCAGTGAGCATGAAAGAAATCATACTTTCTTCTTCCTTCTGTGTTATATTTTTAAGAGCTCTTATGATTAGAGAAAGAAATATATCTACTGCAGGTGGATATGTATGTATATTTTCTTAGATAATTTCAAATGCCATTTTTGTGAATACCATCAATCACATGGTAAAAGAAAAAAGTAACATGAGAGCTGGAACAAAACACTACACTTAGGGTAAAATATGACTTTCCACTTGTAAAAGTGGTATATCTTATACATGTTAAAAAGTATAAAAATCTGTATATCAACTTGTTAATAAGAGTTCTTGACAGTATAAATGCCAGTGCTATCTTTTTACTGGTATAAAATGTTTTAGGTGTAATATCAATATCAAATTATAGTGAACAAAAATCACCTACCATGAATTGCCAGAAGAGAGAGCTTTGTGCACCTCCATGCTAATAAAACCAACGGATCTTCATTTCGGTTGTCACTAAGATCTGGAAAACCAGATGTGTCAATCACATCATTCATTAATATAAAATGAGTGAGGAACTTGTCATACTGCCTAGATATAAGATCAACAATAGCTCCTGAAACACAAGTGATGTAGCTGTCAAAATGAATCCTCTCTAGTGGTATACTGGGTTTCAGAATCTTTAACATATCTTCACTCTTGATATCAAAAGCCATTATATAGACTCGGAGGTTGGTGCTCTTTCTTGACAAGGCTTTCCAATGCTCATCATTTGGCATGTTGTCCAGAGACTTGTGCATCACGGAAACATTGTGGACCAGGAGAGAAAGTCGCTGCAAAGGCACATGGTTGTTATCGGTTAAGACTCTTGCCATCTCAGCTGTAAAGTCACAGAAATCCAGGGCAAGTGAGCGTAGATTCACGAATTGCTCCAGTTCTACTGCGGTGATAAGGGTGCTGTTACCAGGAATATTGTTGTCCAGTAAACTCAGGTGCTCCATGGTGTTGGCAATAGAGTTTGAGAGAGATGACAGTGATGTTGGGGTTACTATTTCCAGCATAAACCCACAAGACAGCCACTTCAGTTGCCTACTATTACTAAGTATTTCTTCAAACAGCTGCTGAATTCTGTAAGGAAAACACATGCCACACGATCCTGTTAAGACTTAGCTCTAATCTTTAACACTGATTTTTGAAAATAGAGAATTAAATGGCATACAATGTTGAGATCCATTTGCTCTCATTAGTTAATTTCTGTTCAACCTACAAGTAATATTATCATTAAAATTCACATAAAAATATAATGGGGGGCTTCCCTGGTGGCGCAGTGGTTGCGAGTCCGCCTGCCGATGCAGGGGACACGGGTTCGTGCCCCGGTCCAGGAGGGTCCCACGTGCCGCGGAGCGGCTGGGCCCGTGAGCCGTGGCCGCTGAGCCTGCGCGTCTGGAGCCTGTGCTCCGCGGTGGGAGAGGCCGCAGCGGTGGGAGGCCCGCGTACCGCAAAAAAAAAAAAGTTATAAAATATAATGAATAAGAAGTACTAAACAAATAGATATATTAAACATATAGAAATATGTTCTTCAAGTAAAGGAGCATTTTACACCAGTACGTCAGAAAAGACTGATGATTTACAATTTATGTTATAGCAAAGACAAGTAGAGTAATAACAGTCTTAAATAGCAATAATTACCCAGTAAATTCTTTGATATGTCTGAAAGATTTATGAGATGGAATGGCATGTATTGATCACTGTATTTCATAGTTAAGACATTTCCAGGGTAGATGTTCTTTTCAGAAACAAGTATCATTACTCTTCTAATTGTATCTTCTAATTTTTCAGAAAAAACTGAAATTGTTATTAATATGAGTCCCTTTCCACTAACTATATAACTTACTGTTTAATTTTTTTGCCATCAGGGTCCACCTTGCTGAGGTATGTATTTGACAAACTTCCTTGCTGCTGTAGAACGCTTATGTCTCCAAAAAGGCTAAACTTCTGGAGGTTCCTACAAGAGAAGTAATTTAAAGTAATTGTCTAAATAATTAACATAAAAATATAAATGTTAAAAATAAAAATATGCAGAAGGGATATTCTAGAGATGTTTCTATCTTATAACTTAGAATCCAATATTCTAGAGATGTTCCTATCTTATAATTTAGAATCCAATTAAGTACTTTCAGATTGCTTTTAACATACAATGAAAAGCAATGTGATACAAGAGAAATAGCATAAGCGTTAAAGAATGAGGCATAACAATTAGTTCAGAAACTCAATGTTTTAGTGACCAGGAAAAAGTCTTCTTAAAGTCTCTGGGACTCAATTCTTTATCAGTAATAATACTAGCTACCTTAAAGGTTTAGGGTGAATAAATAACAAAATGACACATGAAAGAACTATTTAAGCTCTAAGTTTGATATATATGTTAACTGTAATATAAAATTTCCCCAAACCAGTTAACTTAGTGTGTTAAATGCTCAAGGGTGGGGCACTGCCCCGGAGATATCGTCTCAGTAAGAAATGTTCTTTAACTAAAATCTAGAGAACCTTCCCCAGTTTTATGACCAAATGTACAGCTTATCAAAAAAAAATATGTAAAAATCTTTCAATTTTAGTAACTTTAGCTACAAAACATATTTTTCTAACAGTAAAATTCTAAATAAAGTAGGAGAAAGTTGGTTACAGAATAAAGATTAAAAATTCCTAAATGCTAATAATAATGGTTAAACAACAAAAATTCAACTGAGTAAATTTAAAGATCAACTTGGTTATTAAAAGATTCATGGGGCTTCCCTGGTGGCACAGTGGTTGAGAGTCCGCCTGCCGATGCAGGTGACATGGGTTCATGCCCCAGTCTGGGAAGATCCCACATACCGCGGAGCGGCTGGGCCTGTGAGCCATGGCCGCTGAGCCTGCGCGTCCGGAGCCTGTGCTCCGCAACGGGAGAGGCCACAACAGTAAGAGGCCCGTGTACCGCAAAAAAAAAAAAAAAAAGAGATTCATGAATCGGGCAGCATCCTATGTAGCAAACAGAAAGGAGCTCTGCAGAGCTGTAGAAAAGGAAAGGCTTTTAAAGGTGGAAAGGGGGCAGAAAAAGTAAATTATTAGCAAATAATGCACTGTTGCAGGCAATGGTCACCCTCCTAAAGGGAACTGAAGGGCCTATAGGGCAGATTACCTTACTAATGCTGACCAGGTTGACTGATTACATTCCTGGGGTAGACTGAAACTGCAATTGCGCTAGGTATTAAGTCTTAGTTTGGTGACACAGGGTTTAGCATAAGTGACTCCATTTTGGGTCTGCTGTTTCCTTTTTAACATAAGCACTAGAGATTACATCTGTAACACAGAAGTTTGGGATAACTTTAATAAGAAATGTATAATCACAAGAGTGACAAAAGAAGATTTAAGTAAACGAAAGATAACACTTCTTGATAGTATGTCACATTTTCCCAAATTAATAGCCTTAGTTTCACTAAAAAACCTGATGATTCTAAAACTTAGCTTGAAGAATAAATCATTAATTCATTTATTCATTCAACCAAATTTTCTCTGAGGGCCTACTAAATACCAGGCACTGTGTGCTCCATCAGAGACATGACAGGGATCAAGCGCTGTGAAGGACAAGCACATGGTGTCACATCTTAATGGGGGTATCTGACACTGTGTAAGTCAGAAAAGGCTTCCCTAAATAAACTGATGAAAAACGGGACCTGAAGGAAATGTGGGAGCTAACCAGGAGAAGGAGCATGAGGAGAGGCTGTTGTAGGGAAAAGGAAAAGCATATGCAGAGCCTCTGAAGTTGAAAGGAACAAAGTGAGCTTGAGACACTCAAGGAAAGGAATCTAGAATACAGAGAGTGTGAACATAAAGTGAAATGAGGTTGTAGAGGTAGACTGAGTTATATGCTAAATAAAAGTTTCTGGTTTTTGCCTTCAAAATAATGAGATGCCCCCAAATGATTTTAAGCAGGAAATAATAATGATTAAATTTGTGTCTGGAAAATATTGCTGTAGCATTGGTATAGCCTGGCAGGAGGCAGAGTCTAAGTGGGGAGACTGGTTAAGAGAGTATTTTAGTAATAGATTAAAAAGTGGTATCCTGAACTGGATTTTTAGTGGTAGAGGTGAAGGAAAAAAGACAGTCTCAAAACTATATTTAGTTACTAAAATGGACAGGAAAAGGTCCTGGATTAGCTATAAAGGGGTGAGGGAGAGAGAAGTCAAGAATAACTCCTAAATTTTTGAGGTTGTGGAACTACATAGCTGGTAGAGCTTTTCATTCAGACAAGGATTCATAGAAATGAATCAGAAATTAATTAGGGTTTTGGGGGGCTTACGGGGTGGAGGTGAGGTGGTAGAATAGTTAGATTATGAGCTCTATTTTGCAAATGTTGAGCTTGAGTGCCTTTAAGATAGTCAAATTAAGATGTCA